TGGTGCATTACAATAAAAGGTAGTGCTTTGCTAACATAATGTCAGATGTATTTTCCTTTTAACTTATTCAATATTTGGAGCATTTCATGGGTGCTTGCTTTGGCAGCACAGATACTAAAATTACAGTAATTTGGAGGAACTTCATTTTCTATTATTAATTTTATTATACATAAAAACAAACTCATTGCCGTTGAGTTGGATCTGACTCACAGCAAACCCTCCTTGGGTTTCTGAGATAGTATCTCTACGGAAGTAGATTGTCCAGTCTTCCTTCCGAGGATTGGCTAGTGGGTTTGAACCAGCCAATCTAGCAGTCCAATGCCTCAGGCACTATGCCACCAGAACTCCTTATTATACATGTTGTTGTTGTTATTGTTGTTATGTGCCGTCGAGTCAGCCCCGACTCATAGCGACCCCTCCTTGGGTTTCCGAGGCGGTATCACTACAGAAGTAGATTGCCCAACCTTCCTTCCAAGGAGTGGCTGGTGGGTTTGAACGACCACCCTTCTGGTTAGCAGTCAAATGCCTTAGGCACTATGCTACCAGAGCTCCTTATTATATATAGCCTTATTAAAAAACTCTATGTATAATAAGTTTGATTAATTTATCTGTGAAAACTTACAAAACTATTACAGAAGGAAGGATAATGAAATTATAGTTTACTAAAAGATAGCCAAAACACAAGCGAAAACTATTGCTAAGCTATTGGAAAATCTAACTTACTCTTCAAACTAAATGAGAAATAATAATTAAAATTGACAGATGAGGTTTAACACAAAAGTTTAAGGGCAATAAAAACACAAGTACTAAACAACTGCAATAATAAATATGATTTTGTTATTTTCTAACTTTTAACTGTACTCTAGGATTTCAATTCTATCACTACTGTAATATTATATTTCTGTTAAAACATCTCAATTTCATATTCTAAATGAAATTTAGGACACCCTCACTCCTTACCCATGGCATCTGTAACTTTCTTGTCCAAGTCTTCTCCTGAATAATGATAGACAGTTTAGTTTGGGCAAGTATTTATTTCAAACAGGTTATAAGTTCTAAACCAGTGGTGGAAATAAAAGTCACCTATAGTTGATCCTCATCTTTTTTACTTTATACTTGGCCAGTCCACTAATTGGGTTCTGTTTAATAAGAACTAAGACCTTCATTTTGAATATCTTTATCAATTTAGTGGTTTTCATCAATCTCTAAAAGTAAAGGTTATAGCACACAGAAAAGCAGGATAGTGTGTTAGCACTGCCTTTGTAATTTTGAAGTTCTGTACAATTAAACTTTGTACTAATCAATTACTGATGCCTTTCCAATGAGGTATAAAAGTGATATAAATAAAGGTATCTAATGGTATTGAGTAAACATTGTGGCAGAGAAGGGTAATAAAGTCTATTAAATCATTCTTAATAGTGCTAAAAATTCTCTTGGTGGCCTCTAAATCTATAAGCTCCATGAAGACAATTTCATCAGTTTTATTCACTGTTTTATCACACTAGATAGTGCCTGATAAATAACTTGATAAATATTTGTTGAACAAATGGACGGATCACATAGGCTTTGTAATATTTGATGCTAAATAATCAAAGGAAGGATAAAATGGTAAAGAAATGGTATATTGTTCCCTCCTTTGAAAAAAAAATGCTTTTTCACGAAACACATTACAACCAAGAGCAATATACCTTAAATAAAAACAGACTACATGGTATCCCTGGATGGTGCAATGGTCAATACCCTCACCTGCTAACTGAAAGGTTGGAGACTGAGTCCACTGAGAGGCACTCAGAAGAAAGGCCTGGCAATCTATTTCTGAAAAATCAGTATCTGAAAACCCTGGGGAGCACAATTCTACTCTGACACACATGGAGTCATACCAAGTAAAAGGTGATTTGCAGCAACTTTTTTTTTACTTAAATATTAAGCACTCAAAGTATGCAAAGGCTGAGTAATCCTTAAAGCAGACAGGAGGCAGGTCTGTTTTTCACAGATGAGGAAGCTGAGACTCAGAGAGATTAAGTAATTTGTTCAAGGCAAAGAGCTACCTACAAGGTACTACTGAATTTGAAAGAGCAAATACCTGGCTAAGTCATATATAGAGGGGGCAACGAAGGGAACATGGCTTTAAGGAAAAATGGGCTGTGATACGGGACATTTGAATTCTAATCCCAAATCTGGCATGCCACTCCAGGGAAGCTACAGAAGTTACACAAATTCTCTGATTTCTCATCGGTACCATAATGAAGCTGGACTAGACAACAGAGTATCAGCATTCTCTAGAGAATCTTCAAGAGGGAAGGGAAGTCCCAGCTGGGGGGCCAGGAGAGCTCTGCTTTCACTGGTTTTATAAATTGGAGTTTTAGTTAAGATTTCATTTCTAGAAATTCCTTCTCTGCTTTAAATGCTTGAAAAACACTGGTCCTTTCTAGCTCTAATATTCTCATGAGGAGATCATGGATCCAATGCTACTATTTTTTTTTTTTTCCAGTTTTACAGGCTATGGCATATATTTTCTCTATTATAGTATTATAGAAAAGCCAAGTTAGCATGGAGGCTTATATTTTACATTTTCACCTTTGTGAAATACTTAGACATATCTATAATTTTTGTCTGATATGTCCTTGGCTGGATTTTACAAGCTATAATCATTACAGTATTTCTTACTGTAAGAAGGTCCAGTTATTTTTATAAGGACCTGTTTTACAAAGATTTTTCAGAAATTCCTTGTGGTAAAAAATATGGAACATTTATATTTTGAAAAGATTCTCATTAAGTAACCTGTTACGGCTTGTTTCTGTTTTGTGTTATTTAATACACTGTCCTGTATCTGAAATGATAAGACAATTTGCCCAAAAATGTTTGTGTGGCTCAAGCAGCTCTTGCCATCAAGTGTTGTTTGTGTATAGGGGACATCTGAATGAAAAGAGATAGAATTAATCTGCAGTGTGGTTATCACAGAAACACAGCCTTCTTGATTATGAAAATTTTCTACTACATGACTAGAAAGCCCTATGAGCCTCTAACGGCTAATTTTTATATTTAACACGTCTATGTTATTTTCAGCTAAAAAGTTCTCAGCCAAAGCTTCCAGGTACAGATTGTTATTGGTGAGTGCCATCAAGTGGATTCCAACTCATAGTGACCCTGAATGACTGAGCAGAACTGCCTTATAGAGTTTTCTAGGTATAATCTTTACAGAAGCAGATTGCCAGGGCTTTCTCTGGGGGAACTGCTGGACAGGTTCAAAGTGCCAACCTGCCGTCGTTAACAGCCCAGCACTAAACTGTTGACCCACCAAAACTCCATTTTTACCTTGAGTATGAACTGTCTACGTACTTTTACTAGATTTATACAAAACAAATTTTACATGTTATTGTCATCATTAATTTCTTAAAAACAAAGAAAGGTGGTAAGCATCTACCATTCACTAAGCAAATCACAACTTTTAATATTAAAAGAACAGCAAATACTGTGACTATTTTATTAAACAAAGGCACTAATATATGCAGAGAACCCCCTTGTTATTGGGCTTCTAAACATTTCTCAGGAATTGCATTGCTTTCCCCTTCCTCAAAAACGCATTTCAAAATTTGCCTAGTGATCCTTTAACTGGATCCTGGCAAGATACCATAGATATCTTTTAATTATAAGTGTTTGTCTGTATTCTTTAGCATGGGAATAGCTACTACTTTAGCAGGTCTGTGTAACTAAGATGATCAAATTCTTCACAGTATCTTACTTTCATCAAAAGTTTGCTGAGAACTTTTAGCTCAGAGAATTACATTGCATGCATGAATCCATGTACTAACGGCTCTCTGACTAAACTAAAAACTATTCTTGCATATAGTGGTAATGATCCATGCATTAAAGATTCCCTCAACACCCAAATCGAATTATTATGGTTTACTGTGTCTATCATTTGTAGATAATTGAAGTCTCTCAAACACTTCAGCTGAAATGCTAATGGCTTAAAAAGAATCATCAGCTTCTTGATGTCAACACCAAAATGGTTCTCTTTCTCTTCTTACTAACATTAACTCAAAGAAAATTAAAGTTAAAGATCTTTTGCCTACTCAAATGCATGTTTTAAGTTAAAAATATATGGATAAACTCAGGATGTAATATTTTACTACATTAATTATGTAACTATGCTACATTTCAGCATAGCTTTAAACTGATCATATTTACATAAGCATAACATTCTGCAAATACAAGTTAAAATACAAAATAGGTTTTTAAATCTCATTCTGACTAAATGAAGACTCTCTTTTAAGTCTCATCACATTAAACATATTTCCTATTAAGCACAAATTTTTGAATAATAATTCTACAAAAGTGACTTACAAGTTATTTTATTTTTTTAAAAAAACTCATGTTAAGGTGTTGGCGCAAAAAAAAAAAAGTTTATTTAATTCCCTATACGTGCTGAACTAGCTCTGTGTTTATCTACCAAATTTCTTTTAATATGAAGATAAAGAAAAATAGTATTGCATCTACACCAAGATTTCATCAAAAGTGGACAAAAATTAAGAATTATTAAAGATGAATTTCTGATTTACACCATGAGGTCTTTTGGGGGCTTCATGGGCAATTTTGAGTATTTCCAAGAATATTCTACATGTGTAGTACCAACTACAAGCTCAAGACAAACAGTTCAAGGTGATAACAGAGTTCAACAATGAGGAACAACCACCATCAATTTAATGCTCCTCATGGCTGCTGGAAAAAAATACCTTATAGTAGAAGAAAAAAACTTAAACCTATTTCATGTAATTGAAAAAGGGGGAAAGCAGGTGGAAATAAAAGGTAAAAGTTAAATATTAGCTTTTTAATTAACTCATGAACTATAATGATTAGTATTCAGCTACTCTACACTAACTGCCAGTCACACCACAAATGCAGAGTTAGTGAACTGCTGTAATCACAATTAATATAGTCATTACTGCTGAAGAAGCAATGAGATGCTAGAGTTCCACACCACAAGACTACTCCATTACCCTTGAGCAGTCTGTGGGTGAAGAAAGCCCCTCAGCAGCATCCTCCTTGATAACTTCCTAACAACACAAAACAGGAGAGTTCGGCTGAAAAGGTGAAGGAATGAGCCAAAACATGACGATGAATGAACATGATGTTAAAATATTAATAAATAATACTGAAACACTTTATGTGATTAGATTTTTCCTTCAGTGATGACATTTAAAAATTTTAATGGCAGTTTAATTTTGTTAGCTTTTGGTTTTCTAATTAATAAATGTACATTAACAAGGAATTGCTTTTTAAAATTGTTAGTAAAATTGAGTTTTTATCATCAAGAACATCTAACACTTTAGGCAGAAATGTATTTAGGTTTGGATTAATTAGATTCAACAGCACACTGGAGTAATTTTCTTTATCCTGTTTAATTTCTATCATTAGATTGAAATGTTCTTTCAATATATCCTCTAAGTTTCATATTACAGGGCTAACATATATACAGATACTATATAGACAGTAAGTCCTTTACAAAGATAGTAGAAATTCACAGATGTTAATGTTTAGTTTTAGAAGTTTTGTTAACAAATACTACATTACCACAAGCCAGAAATCTGTTGTTGTAAATAACATTTACTCACTGAGGCTGCTAATGATTTTCCTTCCATAGATATTAACCAGAAATGAAAACAAATATATTTTATGCTAGTAATAGCTTATGGGTCTTAAAACTATTTATAAAATAAGTTGCACTCTTCTACTATGGAGAGGAAATAACCAAACTTCTAATGCTATCTATGTTTATTATTAGATTAATATTTTAGTTACCCTTTTATATACTTACTAGGCCATTGTTCTGATCTCTGGGCAAACTCGTTTTTACTGATGGACGTGAGATGAGATGGTGGGAACTGCCAGGGTAATACCTTGGCGTGTAAAGGTATGGGGCAAAGAATGGCTATGGAGAAAACATGTAACAAAAAAAATGGGATAAACAATTACAGAAATAAAAGTATAATGAGATTTATCAAATGAAACTAATCAAATCAATAAAATACAAGACTATTCAATGCAAATGGCAAAACAAAAGGGAAAAACATCTCACTTGTATTCCAAAAGATATCAGACCCAAACTTAGGACATATTATTTCATTTTTATAGGCTTACCATGTGTCAGGTTGTCAGTGATTTATAAATATTAATTGTTTCTTAAAAGAAAATAACACAATGGAATCTTCAATAGAATACTATTCTTTATATATATAAATATATATAAAAGATTAGCTCTAAACAAGATCATACCAAAAAAAAGTTTCAGTTATATGAGAACACTCTGGCATGCATTCCAGGAGTACAGTTCTTCCAAGTTCCTAGAGTTTACCTTATACTAGATAAGCAAGGTAATTTTAAAAAACAGTTGAGGAATACACTGTTTAGATGAAATTTATAGCTAGAGTATTTATTTGCAGCTAATTACATGTAAAAAGCAGATACTAGGTTAAATGGGCTAAACATAAATATCACAATTCATTATGCTTCATTTTATTAAGGTAACATCTTCTACCACATTTTCCTTTTCCTGATAGTTTAACAGAATTATTCTGCTCTTATCTTTAAGACTAATAATATAGATAACTAGAAGAAAAAAATGAGAAGTTTTTAGATAAAACTTAAAAAACAAGAACATTTTAAATGTTTCTGAAATAATAAAATTCTATATAAGCATTGTTGTTGTTCTTGGGGTTGTAGTGTGCCATCATGTCAATTCCAACTCACAGTGACCCTACATGACAGAGCAGAGCTGCCCCACAGGGTTTCCTAGGATATGATCTTCACAGGAGCAGACTGCCAGGTCTTTCCTCTAGTGGAGCTGCCGGTGGGTTAGAACCACCGACCTTTAGGTTAGCAGCTGAACACTTAATCATTGCACCACCAGGGCTTCTATGTAAGCATCATTATTATTATTCATGACGTTAGTGAACACCAAGTTTCAACCTAGATATTCTGCTCATCTTTTTCTTTTTCCTTTTTTTTTGTTAAACTTAACTTCTCAGTCTCAATACTACAAATGACATTTAATGTTCAATTAAGGCCATTTTATGTAGAATTAGAATAGATTTTTAAGAATGGTAAATAAAAATCTGCATTTCACACTGCTTACCACACAGTTAAATTTTACAAGGATGGGATGTATTATAAAATGCTATTATTCCATTTGTTTCTCCTTTTTCAAGTAGAAGAATAGAAAAACATTCATACGGCCTCTATGAATGGTATACCTAATTACTTACATATTCAATATTTTTAAAAAATTGAAAATTTAATTTAAATTCTGGAGTTCATTCTCTGCCACATTTATTCAAAAGTTCTCTTTCTTCACAGCCCATATGAAATTTATTAAGGCAGGCAGTTGGCCTCTATGAATACTGGTCCCTGTGTTTTCTTGAATTTGAGTAAAGACGGAACGACAACACTGAAAGATTGTGATGAATCTTAAAGTTCTCAAAACTCCATGGAAGCACTCCATTTTCCTATAGGAAATTTAAGCGTTTAAAATCATTGAAGTGAGAATTGATAGCTTGGGCTTACTAAACTTGATAGTCTGTATATTACTCACAATTAATTATGTTTTATTCAGAAAATATTTATATGAAGTAAACAATTATACATTACTAAAGATAACTTGAAATAAAACCCAGGAAATGGGCTACAGTGTTGTTATTTGGCAGTAACATCCGAGTCCTACAAGCAATATTCTCCCACATTTAAAATATATAAAATACACTAAATATAGATTTATTAAACTACTGTAGAAATTCAGTTCTATCATTGTTCTAAATGCCAATATATATCATTATGCAGGATATAACAAATGGAATATTTGTTTATAAACAAATGAGGAGTGAAACAGATTCCTCTGAAGCATAGGATAGTACTTGCGGACTCTGTAGTTTACTTTTTTATCAGGACAATAAATATAAGCAAAAAGTATCTCTAATATTCATACTGTCTGGTGATACAGAACCCATTAAAATTTTAAATTATTTTGATTTTTAAAAAAATATCATATATTTTAAATTTAGACTTAATTAAAAACTCCTATCACTCACTTACCCTGTTATAGAATGGATGCTGAGGTCCTGTCATTCCACTATAATAACTGCTGTGAGGCTGTGGGGACACAACGCCACCTCCAAACGGTCCATTGAAAGAAGTAGAAGAAGAACAAACAGATGGAGGCTGGCTATAACCTGATGGTGGTCGAGGAGGAGCTTCATGCAAAGGTAGTGGGGGATATGCAAGTCCTCCAATATTAATCTGGTCTCTTGCAGCACGAACATCTAAAAGATTAAATTATATACCAGAAGACAAAAGAAAATAAGACACGCATAATTAGTTCAATTACCACTTCCTTCTTTGGTTATCTGATAGACACATGATTTTATCACTTTCGCCAGTGATTCAAAATAGGTTAAATAGAAGTAGACAGGAAATCTTAAACACTCCATAGACCCTGTAATAAGAGAAGGCCGACTGTTTCGCATAAAAGCTTTTCCACCGACTCAAAATCATTTGTGGGGGGGGGGGGCGGGGAGACCAGGTTTGCTGGTCCAATAGAGCCTGGTGGAACCACTGAGACAATGGTCCCTAGCTGCCCTTCAGGTCTGGAATTGAACCCACACCTGTAGCTTCCAGTCAAATAAAAGACAGGCATGAGTTGAACATGTACCTGAGGTAGATATATCCCTTGGAGAAAACAATTATGGGAGAAAGAAGGGCTGTTTATGCACAGGGAGACAGTTCAGCGGGCAGGAGTGCATGGAGGGATGGACACAGGGAAGAGGTAACTATCGGGAGGAAGTGGGAGGGGAGGTGTTGTATTGGGGTAAACTGTCAATGTCATGAGACAACGTGTGTGTGAACTGCTGTATGGAAAGTGAATTTGCTCTGCAAACTTTCACCCAAATCACGATTTAAAAAAAAAAAAAGAATAAAAAAGGTTTTCTACCATATGAAAAGTCACCAACATATGAATTCTGCCCTTCAGTAACCAGAGCTATTAATTTTTCTCTAGCCTTTTAAGATACTTAATTGTGATATCTTAATAAGTTTTATGATTATAAAGTATTACCAACTATTAATAACTCATATTTGCCTAATTTTAGTAAAGACAATTATCAGCTAAGTTTATAGGTTTGCAAACTATATGAATCATGCATCTCAGATTAACAAAAACATCAATTCTATAGTCACAAAATACACCTTTTACATCAGCCTTATGACAGGTATCAAACAGCAGCAACTTAAGAATAATTTAAGGCTTTCTCTTTATAATTCCTGGAAAATTCAAAGGTGTATCAGTAGTGCCAGTATCATACAAAAGATATTGTGTTTCAGTAAGATTTTTGTTTTGTGTGTGCATGTGCATAAATTATTCTAAAACTTTAATATTACTATCCTCAAATGCCAGTCCACAAATATAAGTTAAAATTAAAAGAGTAATATAAATATTTGCTTACCCTTCTGGACAGATACCCCCATTAAGAACAGAAGACTGGTGACAGAAAATTGTAATGGATTGACACCTTAAAATCATGGCTGTATCCTTAAAAGGAATCTGATTCCAAGGTAAGGATCCAGAGTGTGTGGAGAGGTAAAGATTATTACAAAGTGATTTTAACAAATGACATTTTTTTAACATTCCCTAAAGAATGTCAAGACTTCTAATCCTAAAAAATCATTAATTCTCCTGTGTAGTGCGTGATTCAGTACTTCTTGGTTTTTCATGGAACAGGAGAAACTTACATAGCTGAATAAGAAATAGAAAATTTTTAAAGGACTTCAGAGAAGAAAATTTAAATTTACTACTAATATCCACCTGCAATGATTTCCCGAAGTTTGGGGTCTAGGTTTACAGTGCATGGCAAAAAGGTTTTTACATCTCGAGCCACAAGAACCGGGGTCCTTGAAGATAAAAACACTTCAAAATTTCTTGTATCTCCATCGATTTCAAGCAGTGGTTCAACATCTTTAGTTGTTGGAATATTCTTTGATATTCTAGAAACAAGAAATGAAAAAAGGTCATTACAGTAACTATTAGAAAGATACATTCTGCCTGTTGTTGTTGTTAAGTGCCTTGATCCGACTCATAGCGACCCCTCCTTGGGTTTCCAAGGCAGTATCACTACGGAAGTAGATTGTCCAATCTTCCTTCCGAGGAGTGACTGGTGGGTTTGAACCGCCAACCTTCTGGTTAGCAGTCAAGTTCCTTGGGCACTGTGCCACCAGAGATCCCACATTCTGCCTGTAACTTAAAATCTGTTACTTATAAAAATAAATAACACATTATACACCTTGTTTGCCTTAAAAACAAAAATAAAAAAAAGTAAAAAGTGGTATAGGTATTAAATAAAGTAGCAAAATCAGAAGTCAGAATTACACTCTTTTTAGCCAAAGGCAGGACTTGAGCTGGGAAAATAAAGAAGGAAAGTAATAAATGTAACAGGCACTCCATATTTTAGTAAGTACCATTGAGTGAAGAGTAAATGAGTTATCATTTTATAGATGTGGAAAGTGGGCCTCAGATATATTGTAAAACTCGTTACAAGTATCACTCAGCACCATTCTAACCAACCAACCGTGATAATCTAATGAAGAATGATTAGACAAATAATGTAGAGAAGGTTTTTCTTCTTTTCTTAAAAAAGCAACTAACGACTTACTACCTAATAAATACATAGCAATGAGGAGGTTGAGAGAAGGAATATTGCAGAAATTTCTGAGAAATTTCTTTTTGAAAACAGAGATGCTAGTCATTTGTGCTGAAAATTTAAATTAGCTGTACTAGAAAAGATATACTTCCAATCCTGGTTAACACAAAACTAGACCTTCAAATGAACAGTATCTGCAATGGTTTGGTAAAACTGTTATTCAAAGACCTTTTCTGAATATTTTTAAATCAAATTAAATTTCTTTACTTTCTGCTTGCAAAGCAATTAATGATCACTAAGGCATTTGACTTCTAACCAGAAGGTTGATGGTTCAAACCCACCAGCCACTCTGCAGAAGGAAGACTGGGCAATCTACTTCCATAAAGATTTACCACCTTGGAAACCCAAAGGGGGTCGCTATGAGTTGGAATTGAATCAATGGGTTTTTTTGTTTTGTTTTGTTTTATAGTAAGTTGAAAATGTTAAAGTTTAAAACAGACATAATATTACAACGCAAATAAAAGCATTTATTGACATTATATACTTCATTCAAAAATTTCCATGGCATCTTCCCTGCCTATATCTCTAATTTAGTATTTATATATAGTATAGTCTTAAAATTCTGCTTACATATTTGCTTTATCCACTAAACTTTAAGTATTTTGTAGATATTCACCATTGTATTCTTAGTATCTAGCTGAGTGCCTGGGCATCTAGTAAATATGCAATAAATATTTCTTGAATGAGTGAAAGCTTTCTTACATAGTTTTACTCATGTTGTACCTTAAAATTCTTTACACAATAACTGCATATAATATTATACTAAGTGGATATATCAAGATATTGATATTTCTCTTGTACTGTTACAAGCATCCCAGTTTTTCTCTAAGGTAAATAAAACTTCTGTGTATTCTAAGGATTATTTCCTTAGAACTCAACCTCAGAGCTGAAATTACTGAGCCAAAACATTAGAGAAGCACTAGTATCACAACAATAATCAATTAATTATGTAGTTGTTAATGTGTGCCCTTCCCTGCAGAATGGAAATCCCAAAGTGGCAGAGACTATATTTTTCTCTTATTTTCTACTTTACCCCAACCCTACCCAAACCATTGACATCAGGTGGATTCCAGTTCACAGCAACCCTACAGGACAGAGCAAAACTGCCCTTAGAACTTCCATGGCTGTAAATCTTTATGATAGCTGACTGTCACATCTTTTTCCTGCAGAGAAATATTCATTTAAGACAAAAAAAAAAAAAAGAGAGAGAGAGAGAGAATAAAGAGAAACAGAAAACAAAAAACAAGATGACAGACTCACACCTAATAATAACCAAAATTACATGAAATGTTAATGGTTTAAATACTCCAATTAAAAGATAGAGATTGAAAGAGTGAATGAAAAAGATCCAACTATAGAATGTCTACAAGGAAAGCACTTTAAATATAAGACAGAAATGAATGAAAAGTATGAAAAAAGATGTGTGTTAACACTAATCAAAAGGAAGCTAAGTAGCTCAATTAGTATTAGATTTTAGAGCAAAACATTTTATCACCAAAGATAATCATAATAACAAGTAACAGAGGTTCAAATATATACTGATAATTCATGACTTACGATGTATTCAAGTTACAACAAACTGCACTGACAACCCTCTGTGTGTGTGTGTGTGTGTGTGTATCTTAGTATTAATAATATGTATTACGTACATTTTCTTTTTGGTAACTCAAAAGTTTCTTTACATACTGTTTGTTTGCTGCTCAACTTTCTTTTTTCTAAAATTTTTTATTTTAAGCGTTTGTTTTACATTCAACATTACATGTACATTTAGTTCCACTCCCATTTACCATGCCCAACCTTAACCCAGTCTCCTCCTCTCCCTGGCCAGTAAAAGCCCCCCCCCGCCCCCCGCCAGGCCCTTATATTTATACACTCCTGTCTGTTCTGCATTTCCTCCGTGGGAATGTTGCCCCTCTGGCACTCCTGGTCAATTGCTCTAAGGGATGCATTTCCATAGAGTATGTGGGTGCGTCACCCTGGGTTGAGTGGTCTGCATTTTCATCTTGTTTACTATTGGGCTGAGAGCCAGCGCCTGGGAGTGAGCTTTATTCTTGGCCCAGAATGTATCCCAGGACCATAGTATTGGGGGTCTCATCAGACTTCCTTTGACCAGTAATTCTGGTCATTATTGAGTTTTTGGATTTTGTTCCACATTTTTCCTCCCACTCTATCCAGGATCTCCAGATTTGATCCTTTCCTGAGTGGTTGGCATTGGTAGCCAGGCACCATCTAGTTTTGGTCTCGAGGGCCATCGTGTCCTATGGCTGATTGCTTCCAAATGCCCTTGGTTATTTATTTATTTATTTTTTGTACTACATACATTGTTACAATGCATAATTTGCTGATATTAAATTCTCAGATGTTCACTTGCAGATATTCAAAGATTGGATTTATAAGGCTAATGATAATAAAAGGCAATCATAACAATAAAAGAGAGAGAGATTCAACTAACATAAGAACTGACTTAAGACAGAGTCATTGGAACAGAACCTCACGGCAAGTTAGAGACTACCTGAAAGCAAACACTTAGAAGATGCAGGGAGAAAGGATAAATTCATAATTATAGCCAGAATTTTCAATAACTGTAAGAACAAACCCATTGCCACTGAGTCAATTTTGACTCCCAACATCCCTAAAGGACAGAAAAGAACTACCCCACAGGGTTTCCAAGGCTGTAAATCTTTACAGAAGTAGAGTGGTACATCTATTATCTCATGGAGCGGCTCCTAGGTTTGCAACTCCAACCTTTTAGTTAGCAGCTGAGTACTTAACCCATTGCACCACCAAGGCCCCTCTTGAGAGAACAGATATAAAAACAAGTTGATCATAGATGTGAACAATACAATCAATCAACTTGATTAACTGGTATTTATAGAATTCTTTCCCCAACAATAACTGAATACACACAGTTTTCAATTGTGGTTTGATTACCTGGTGTCACTCTGACAAGAATATACCATAAAAGGGATGGCTTGAACAAACAGGAGTTTATTATCCTAAAGTTTGGAGGATTTAAGTCCAAGTTCAAAGTGCCAGGGTCTAGGGGCTGTGTGAACGCCCCTCGACCTTGGGCTTCAGCTCTGCCTCTTGCTCCCGGCCCACTGAAGCTAGAGGCATCACTTTACTCAGGCAGCTACTGGCTAAGGCTAACAAGCCCAAGGTCAAGAAATAAAATGGCACAATCCCAATGTTACCAAACTGCCTGGCAGGCCACTAATCCAAGACCAGTCGAAGTCCCAAGTCACCAGAGCATGGCAGGCTGCTGAACAACAACACAATACAAACAGGGTTCAAGAGTGCCATAAGCTAGAGACCATTCCCAAAGCTGTTGCTTATATATGGGAAGCAGACCATATCCCTAGATTAGCTACTCAGCTGCTTGTGATAGATCCCACCATGGAGTTGACTGCCAGTCTTATCATGGGGAATAATTACTACCAGCTGCCCAGCCACTCAACCAGGCCCAGCCAAGATGACATACAACTTTACCTACCATAATCAGCATAGGGAATATTGTTGTTGTTTGCTGTCGAGTCAGCCCCGACTCATAGCGACCCCTTCTTGGGTTTCCGAGGCAGTATCACTACGGAAGTAGGATTGCCCAACCTTCCTTCCGAGGAGTGGCTGGTGGGTTTGAACCGCCAGCCTTCTGGTGAGCAGTCAAGTGCCTTAGGCACTATGCTACTAGAGCTCCCTAGGGAATATTAGCCAAAAACAAAACATAATCTGTGCCATAAAACAATAAAAACATAAAAAAAATTTAGAAGGATTCAAGTCATACGAAGCATGGTCTTTGATAAAAAGGGAATTAAATTAGAAATAATTAACAGACAGGTATCTGGAAAATCTCTAAACATTTGGAAACAAAATAACACACCTCTATATAATCCATGGGAGCTCTGGTGGCATAATGCCTAAGGCATTTGACTGCTAACCAGAAAACTGGTGGTTCAAACCTACCAGCCACTCCTTGGAAGGAAGGTTGGGCAATCTACTTCCGTAGTGATACCGCCTCAGAAACCCAAGAAGGGGTTGCTATGAGTTGGGTCCAACTTGACTGCAGTGTATTTGGTTTTTGTTTTTTTGGTATATAATCCATTTGTTAAAGAAGAAATCAAAAGTGAAATTAGAAAATATTTTGAACCGAATGAAGAAAAAAAGCACACTATATCAGAATTTATGAACTGTCACTAAAATAGTAATCAAGTAGAAATTTAAAGCCATAAATATCCACATTTGCCAATGTTTAACACACTCAGCTGCTAACCAAAAAAGTTTGGTAGTTCA